CTTTCTGCCGAGGCTTCCAACTTGACCAGACACAGCCTGAATCTTGAAAATAAACCTTTCCTTGCCTGAATCCTGCTGCTCTCTCTTTTTTTGGCGGCCAATTTAATTTACCTAACACTTTCTGTATATACTTTCTCTGTACATTTATTTGTACTTTCCTCCTTACCCTACTGTGTTCACCCTAGTGACAGGACCTTGAGCTGAGGGACAGCACCCAGGCCCAGAGTTCAGGCCCCATGACCAACCCCCCCCCCAAAAAAAAATTCACTATGGGGCTGGGAAGGTGGCTCAGTGGTAGAGTGCTTGCCTTGCATCCATGAGGCCCTGGGTTCGATTCCTCAGCACCACATAAGCAGAAAAAGCCAGAAGTGGCGCTATGGCGCAAGTGGTAGAGCGCTAGCTTTGAGCTGAAGAGCTGAGGGACAGCGACCAGGCCCAGAGCTCAGGCCCCACAACTGATCCCCCCCCCAAAAAAAAATTACTATGGGCCAAGCGTCAGTGGCTCATGCCTGTAATCCTAGCTACTCAGGAGGCTGAGATCTGAGGACTGCGGTTCAAAGCCAGCCTGGGGAGAAGAGTCTATGAGACTTTTATCTCCAGAAGTGGCGCTGTGGCTCAAGTGGTAGAGCACTTGCCTTGAGCTGAAGAGCTGAGGGACAGCGCCCAGGTGCAGAGTTCAAGCCCCCCTTCCCAAAAAAAGAAATATTCACCATGTAGTAGTTACTAAATACTAAATAAGTTTTTTATATATTGATATGTAATCTTTACACTTCTCGTTAGAGACAGGAAAACTTGTTATACATAGGAAAATTAAAGCACAGAAAAATGAAGTAAGTTGTGCCAAGCACATAGCAGGAAAGAAACAACCAAGAGTTGGGCAATGCAGTAGCAGTACCAAGCCTGACTTCCCCCTGGCTCCAAACGTTGATCACTTCGAGAATTCTTGGTGTCCTCTTCATAAGCACTACAAAGCACTGCAGTATCAAACAAACCTAAACAAATCAGCAAGCACCAACATGTATAAAGGTTTTAGACAGGCCTCTGTACTCTACTTCTGAATCACCTTGACAGTAAAAAATAATGAAATAAAAAACCCTGCCAGTTATATTTCTCACCAGTGTCATGAAAGTTTAGTTGGCAATTAACAGTAAATCTATTCTCATATTTTCCAGTTAAAAGTAACTGAAAAATTCCTTCTGAAGTGCTTGCAGTAGCTTTACTCACCATATAAGGAAATGAGTAATTCTGAACTTTTCGGCCTCATCCTTTTCTTCAAGGCACTAAGAATGCACTTGAAATGAATGCTATACTGCTGTTTATAAGTAAATTATCTGTGGAAGATCCAAACTAAAGTTCTGTTACATTCCAGGCCATAAACAACAACAAAACAAACACACCCAACCCTTTCTTTAAATTATTTAGAATAATGGGCTGGGAATGTGGCTTAGTGGTAGTGTTTACTTAGCATGCACAAAGTCCTGGGTTCAACTCCTCAGTACCACATAAATAGAAAAAGCCAGTGGTATTGTGGCTCAAGTGATAGAGTGCTATCCCTGAGCAAAATCTGAAGCTCAGGGACAGTGCCCATACCCTAAGTTCAAGCCCCGGGACTGGCCAAAAAAAAAAAAAATCCTAGCCTGTAGGACACCAGTGGCTCAGGCCTGTAACTCTATCTACTCATAAGGGTGAGACCTGAAGAATATCTGCCTGCGTTTTAAAGTCCGTGAAACTCCATCTCCAATTAACCAGTAATGACTGACTAGAGACATTGCTCAAGCAGTAGAGCACCAGCCATGACCAGGAAAACTGAACAAGTTCAGTTCAAGCCCCAGTACCATCAAAAAAAAGTTTTTTTAAAAAAGTCCCTAGTCAATGATGGTAAACTAAAAAAAATTTGGAGAATTTGTTAAAAGATTAGTTTTTTAATAGTCATAAATGAAGTCAATTTCTTACAATATTGTCTTTTAAATCTTTTATTGCTCAAAAAATTTTAACAAAGTAAAATCTGGCAGACATCCCTTTTCATCTTTGTGGGAAAAAGTGAGACTAAAGTTTGAATTCAGGCCCTCATGCTTGCTAGGTTAGTGCACTACCACTGGATACACACATCTAGCACTTTGAATTGCCTTTGGTTTTACCATGCCCAAAGTACTTAAAATGCATTCAAAATAAGACTATTATTTAAGTAATAAGCCATCAAGAGTAAAAACCCTACCTTAACAGACAGTGAGAACACAGATCCTCTCATTTTTTTTTTGTTTTTTTTTTTGGTCCGGTCGTGGGGTCTGAACTCTGGGCCTGGGCGCTGTCCCTCAGCTCTTCAGCTCAAGGCTAGCACTCTACCACTGGAGCCACAGTGCCACTTCTGGATTTTTCTGCTTATGTGGTGCTGAGGAATCGAACCCAGGGCCTCATGCATGCAAGGCAAGCGCTCTACCACTGAGCCACCTTCCCAGCCCCTCCTCTCATGTTTTTACACAGAAAAAGTACTTCTCACACCACAGTTGGTTGGGCTTAGATAAACCCACATTTTAACAACCAAATGCACAAACCACTCAAACACACTCATGTTAAGTTATACATGATGTCAAAGGCCTTCCCCAGGGACTTGTCTAGGTTGCCTATATACCACCAGGTGCAACACTCACTAAACTCTGTGTGGTTTCTGTGGTTCAATAGCTTACTAGAGGATCTTGATCCAAGGGACCAAGATTTCCAGCAGGAAATATAAAGAATCAAAAGGTCTTAAGATGGCATTCTCCGGATCCAAGAATTGTGCTATCTGTAGACAATGGAATATTATGCAGCCATTAGAAAGGACAAAATGATGGCATTTGCAGGGAAATGGATGGAGCTAGAAGAAATCATGATGAGCGAGGTAAGCCAAGCAAAGAGACAAACGGTACATGCTCTCCCTGATAAGGATGTTAAATCCAAAACGTAAGGTGATACGACAAAATTAACAAGACTTAATTAAGAAACAAAAGACTTCCACTTATCTGGTTGAATCACTACTAAATAACCCCATGCTGCTGACCACATATATGGTATATATGTGCATACTGGAGGGAAACCTGGAGGACGACACAGAACTAGAGGGAATCAAGGAAAAACATACAACAGCGGGACCCATTAGCCCTACTGGTCATTGATCAAAATGAACTAAGCAACTCAATGGAAGCGATGGGAGGGAGGGAACAAGTGGGAAAGAGGGAACCGCTGGTGCTATGCAAAACAAAAGAAATGTACACATCATCCGATGTGGAAGAGATAACTGTATTGCAAAGCTCACAGAACTCATAAAGATTATAAAGCATGAAAGACATTTGCCCCATGAAAGTGAGGATGTGTTTGTGACTTTAACTAAGCATCACTATCCCACAATACTGTGAAATTTGGGAAATTATGTAACCACTTAATCACAATAAAAAATTTTTTGAAAAAAAAAAAGAAAGAAAGAAAAGATGGCATTCTCAGGAGGAGTAGGTCGAGAGGAGGAGATAAAGATGGCATTCTCAGGAGGAGTAGGTCGAGAGGAGGAGATAACCGGGCCTGACATTTTTCTCAGTGCCTTCAGAACTTCACAAGAGCAGTGGTGGAGACCAGAGATGCTCTTGACATCATTGTGACCTTTTCTGTTAAGGACAAGACAACACCAGCAGGGTCAGGTTTCCCTAGTCCCTGCACTAAAGCTAATGCCAGCTGGAGGCTATAAGAACCCAGGTTAGAAGGAATGGCTCTGACAGGAATAACGAACTGCTTTGTTACCTTGTTTTAGTGCTAATAATGAGTAGTAAGCACTAACTACTGATAACAACAAAAAAATGTAGGGGCTGGGAAGGTGGCTCAGTGGTAGAGCGCTTGCCTTGCATGCATGAGGCCCTGGATTCGATTCCTCAGCACCACATAAACAAAAAGAAAAAAGCCAGAAGTGGTGCTGTGGCTCAAGGGACAGATTGCTAGCCTTGAGCTGAAGAGCTGAGGGACAGCGCCCAGGCCAGGTCCCCACGACCGGACCCAAAAAAAAAAAAAATGTATATCTAACAATAATATATGGCTTATCCAAGTGTTAGGTCAATAAAAAGAACTTTTATGTCTTTTAAAAACACACTACACAAAGCTATATGTGTACTTCATCAAACTCAACCACAGAAAGGGAGGGAAATGCATCTAAAAGGCCGTTGCACTCATCTCCAGTGGTCAGTGGGAGAGCTCACAGTGTAACAGTAACACAGTGTTGAGGAACATGGATTCTGTGTCAGACTAATGTAGGTCTACATGCATGTTCCAATATTGATCAGTGGTGTCACTTTGACAAATAGTTCATGATCTTAGTTCATGATCAGTAATGGGAAGCATTATTTAGCTTTAGGCACATGAGAATTAATTCAGCAAATACCTTAAAATTATACTCAGTGATAGGTGCTGAATCAAAGGTGAGCTATAACCTATACTTTTTTAAAAACTTTTTTTCAGGGCTAGATATGATTAGGCACACCTTTAATCCCAGTTACTCAGGAAGCAAAGATTAGAAAGGTCATAGTTCAAAGACAGCCTGGGCAAAAACTTAGCAATACATCCATCTCAACCAACAGGTCAGGCCTGGTAGGTCACGTCTATGATCCAGCCATGCAGAAGCACAGGTAAGAGTAATAGTATCATGATCCTGGGTCAGACGTTGGCAAAAAATGCACAACCCTATCTTAAAAATCACTAAAGCAAAAAAGGGTAGAGGCATGGCTTAAGTGACATAGTACCTATCTGGCAAGTGGGAGGCCTGAGCTCAAACTCCAGCACCGCGGAGGAAGAAGTGGGGGAGTGGAGGAGGAAAGGGTGGGGGAAGGAGGGAGAAAGAAGCCTCCGTGAAGGTGAAAAGCAATAGAAAATCCACGTGCACTGGAAAGGGGAAACGTGAGTTACGGGCATAATTTTGTCTTTCTGTTGTCTGTATTGGTCTTGTTACAAATGGGTAGATAAACTCGAGGTAAATAGGGACTTACGGGTTTTCTAAGGAAGAAGATGGACAAAGCTCCCACCAAGGGCATGTCTCCGATGAGCGGCTCCAGGATCACACGCATCGTCCCATGGACCTGCCCTCAGGAAAGCAGAGCAAGTCAGAGAACCCAGTTCTACAGGGTCACGCACCTAACTTCATGCTTCTTCCAACTACGACCATAAAGACAAACTTACTTCCAAAACCTACTAAGCAAGTACAAACTTGACAATTTTCTTCTGATACAACTTGGAGAACTTAAAGCTGAAAATCTGACAAACTTACCTGTATACTTTTCACACCAGCTCTACAAAAGTATCGTTTGATCTCCAAATCAATCTCACAATTTCCTACAAAACTAACACAGAAAAAATTCTGCATTACACGAAGTAAGTGGAAGTCTTTTCTTAATCATTGGTTAAAAACTATAGCTGCTGGGCCCCAGTGGCTCACACCTGTAATCCTAGCTACTAACAAGCTGACATCTGAGGATCGAGATTCAAAGCCAGCCCGTGCAGGGAAGTCTGTGATACTCCTATCTCCAATTAACTACCAAAACACCAAAAGTAGATGGTGGCTCAAGTGGTAGAGCAGTAGCTTTGAGCAAAACAAGTTTGGGCAGTGCCTGGGGCCCTGGGTTCAAGCCCCAGTACTAACACACATGTGCACGCTTTGTGCACTTGTGTACATGCACACACACACACACACACACACACACACACACACAAACACAAAAGAAGTTCAGGTTTAGCCAGATGCAGTGGTTCCAGCCTGCAATCCCAGCTACTGGGAGAGTGACTATTAGGGGATCTAAGGTAAGATCAGCGGGGAGGACTACGTCCGCTCAGCAGCTGGCTGTAGTGGCTGTCCAGGTGTGGCAGCATGGAGAAGCACAGGTAGGAAGAGTGCAGCCCAGACCAACTGGAACATACAGCAAGACCCTCTCTTGAAAATAACCAATGCAGGGCTGGGAAGGTGGCTCAGTGGTAGAGCGCCCGCCTTGTATGCCTGAGGCCCTGGGTTCCATTCCTCAGCACCACATAAGCAAAAAGAAAAAAGCCGGAGTGGCGCTGTGGCTCAAGTGGTAGAGCGCTAGCCTTGAGCTGAAGAGCTGAGGGACAGCGCCCAGGCCCAGAGTTCAGGCTCCACGACCAGACCCAAAAAAAAAAAAAGAAAAGAACCAATGCAAAAGGGGCTGAAGGCACATCTCAAGTGGTAGATTGCCCATCCTGAAAGTGCCAAAAAAGCCTGAATTTCATTTTACCACTACCATGAAAATAGTGGTATTCTCCTCCCCCCGCCCCACAAAAAAATGCTCACTTAGGTAGTACAGGCTCTGTAATATCAAAAATTAGAAGCAGCAATCTTTTTGGGGTTCAGATTTTACTCGATGATTAAGTCATCCCAAACACGTGTGAGTCTACTATGACACCTACTTTCAGTGTAGTCATGCAATGCAAACAGGACCCCTCCCTCTTGGCATAACCCAGCTATACTAAAATAAAACCTTGCTCAAACAGGGGCTGGGAAGGTGGCTCAGTGGTAGAGCGCTGGCCTTGCATGCCTGAGGCCTTGGGTTCGATTCTTCAGCACTACATAAGCAAAAAAATAAAAAAGCCAGAAGTGGCGCTGTGGCTCAAGTGGTAGAGCGCTAGCCTTGAGCTGAAGAGCTGAGGGACAGCGCCCAGGCCCAGAGTTCAGGCCCCACCCCGGACCAAAAAAACAAAAACAAAAACCCTGCTAAAACAAATAAACAAAAAGCAGCTAGATGCCGGTGGCTCACGCTTGTAATCCTAGCTACTCAGGAGGATGAGATCTGAGGATCATGGTTCAAAGCCAGCCCAGGCAGCAAAGTCTGTGAGACTCTTATCTCCAATTAACCACCAGAAAACCAGAAGTGGCGCTGTGGCTCAAGTGGTAGACTGCTAGCCTTGATCTAAAGGGTTGAGTGACAGTGCCCAGACACAGAATTCAAGCCCCATGACTGACAAAAAAAAAAAAAAAGAACAAGAATAAGAAACAAGGAAAGCTACTTTTATCATGATAGACCCGGTCCATGGTAAATTCTTTTTTTGTTGTTGTTGGTCGTGGGGCTTGAACTTCGAGCCTGGGCGCTGTCCCTCAGCTCTTCCGATCAAGGTGAGCACCCTTAAACCACAGCAACACTTCCAGTTTTCTGGTGGTTTATTGGAGATAAGAGTCTCACGGACTTTCCTGCCCGGGCTGGCTTTGAACTGCAATCCTCAGATCTCAGCCTCCTCAGTAGCTAGGACGACAGGCGTGAGCCACCGGCACCTAGCTAAATTGCTTTATTTCAATTTTATTATAAAGGAGATATACAGAAGGGTTACAGTTACATAAGTCAGGTAATGAATACATTCTTTTTAAAGTTAACCCCTCCCTTCACTTCCTCCCACTTTACCCCCACCCCACCCCACCCCGCAAATTGTAAAGCTCTTTTTCAACAGTGTTTAGTGAACATCACTGCTGAATTGGTTCACCCTTTATCCCATTGTTTCTGTGATTTTCCCTTGCCCTTCTCCTTCCCAAATCAGATAAACATATATAAGAAAAAGGGTACAAAAATCGAAAATAATGACAAAAATTAATAAACCAAAGGAAAAAAGAAAGAAAACAGAAATAAATACAAACAGTACAGTAAGAAACATCTTGTTTCCATTTCTTGGAGTTCATTTCAATTAGCACCATTTTGGTAAATTCTTCTTCAAAAGACAATTTAAAAGATATGTGAAGCTACATGTAACATAAACTTCACTATTTTGAAGTGTATGGCTTAGGGCTGGGAAGGTGGCTCAGTGGTAGAGCGCTTGCTTGCCTTGCATGCATAAGGCCCTGGGTTTGATTCCTCAGCACCACATAAGCAAAAAGAAAAAAGCCGGAAATGGCGCTGTGGCTCAAGTGGTAGAGTGCTTGCCCTGAGCTGAAGAGCTGAGGGACAGCGCCCAGGCCCAGAGTTCAGGCCCCATGACCGGACCCCCCAAAAAAAAAATACGAATTGTGAAGTGTATGGCTTAGTGATATTATATACACACATAATGCCACACAACCACCAGCACCACTCATCTCGAGAACTTTCACATCTTGCAAACAAAAATTCTGTATCCATTACCAACTGACTGCTCATTCCTCCTCAGGTCACTGATGCTCACTGCTCTGCTTTCTGCCTTCACGACTTTAATTACGCAAGGGACTACAAGTAGATTCATACAGTCCCTGCCTTTTTTGTTCTGACTTATTTCAGTTAACCAATGTCCTCAAGGATTAACCATGTAGCATGTGACTGGCTGAGTATTGACTGTCGATACCAAGGTGTATGATGTAGCGTATACCATATACCCCGGACCTGTCTTGGGACACCTGAGTTGCTTTCAGCTACTATAAATTGAAGTCATGTATGATGTAACAGCAACAAATCTGAGAATTTGGTCACTGTGTGACCATCGTAGAGTGTACCTACCTGAACCTCAATGGCTACAATGTTCCTAGGCAAGGAAATAATCACGGACCACTGTCATGCGTGCAGTGATGCCATACCTGACTGTGATGATGTTGGAACAGTGGTGGACAGGTATCTGTCCAGCCTCTGCTTCCAAGTATTTTGGGCATATTTATGATACGGACTGAGTAGGTCTTCCAAAAGAATCCTAGCTTTTCAGTACCACAGTGCTGGGAGGTAGGACTGAATTCTGGGAAAGGAGATCTTATGGATGTATTAATGTCTTTTTTGCACGTGTCCCTCTTAGTTACCTGGAGAAGGGGTTTTATAAAGCAAATTTATATTGCATATTCTCACTCCTTTGCCCATACCCAACCTAGGCTTTCCAGTTTGCACCTGAGCTGAAGCAGCAAAAGACCCAATTGTAAACACCTGATCTTAAAGATCCCACCTCCAGCACTGTACGCTGAAATATGGACCACACAGTCTCAGATATTCTGCTGTAGCAACAGAAAAGGACTAAGTCAATACAAACAGAAGTGGAATTGCTGGATCCTATGGTAATTGTATTTTTATGGTTTTAGGGGAAACTGCTATGGTGTTTTCAGCTAAACCATTTTAAATTCCCACCAATAGTACTCAAGTTGTCCAATGTCCATTTCCTCTCTGGTTTGTTGGTAGTTACACTACTGTGAATGAAGTAGTATCTCTCTGTGGTTTACATTTTCCTAATGATTTTGAGTTGAGTATCTTTTTATGTGTATAGTGATCACTTGTATACCTTCATTGAAGAAAGATCTTGCCAAATGTTTTGTCCATTTTTAATAGCTGCTTAGTTTATGTATGTCATTTTAAAAGTTGTCTATTCTATTAACTTATAGCTCAGATTTATGATTATGGAGATTGCACTAAGATAGCTTTGGGTAATACTGACATTTTAACAATATTAAGGTATGCAATTCATTAACATAGAGCATTTATATGTACTGTCTTTAATTTCCTTCAGTAATGTTTTCTAGTTTTCATTGTACAAGTCTTTTACAAGCTTAGTTAAGTTTATTCCTAAGACTTTTATATACTTTAATTCTATTAAATGTGGAATGGTATCCTTAGTTTCAATTGTTTATTGGTTCACTGTTTATTAGTGTACAAAAATGCAATTGATTTTTGTATGCAGACTTTGTCTACTTCTACATTGCTGAATTCATTTACTAGTTCTAATAGGTCTTTTTTGGAATCTTTAGGATTTCCTTCTTAGCATTCTTCCCTCCCTCTCCTCCTCCCCACACCTACTGAGAACTGATCCTGAGTTCTAGTGCTGACTACGCAGGTACTCTACCATCTGAGCCATACCTCCAGGCCCTTTCTGCCTTGGGTATTTTCAAGGTACAGTCAGTCTGGGTTGTAGTCCTCTTTGTACTTCCTGATGTTTCTGGGGATGACAGGCGCATGCCACTGCTCCCAACCATTAAAGATGAAGGTTTACAAACCTCTTTTTGTGATAGCTGGTCTTGAATCATGATCCCCTGATTTTTACCTACCCATAGAGATTTCTATATAGAAGACTATATCTTTATGAACAGAGAAAATTTCCCTATCCCTTTCCCATTTGAGTGTCGTTTATTTCCTTTTCTGGCTATCTGCTCTAGATAAAACATTTGTTTTTATCATAAAATTCCGTGTTTTTGCCTCAAGTGAGACAATTATATAATTAACCTCCTTTCTGTTAATGTGGTGTATTATACTGACTGATTTTCATATATTTATCTTTACATTCTAGGAATAAATTTTACTTTGTGGTGTATAACCAATTTAATATGCTGCTGAGTTTAGCTTACTGATGTAGTGTTTACAATTTTTGCATAAAGTTCATAAGGGATATTAGTTGTGTTTAGCTTTCTTTCTTTTCTTATAGTATATTCAATTTCTTTGACACATTTTATGAATGACAGTTACCTAGGATGTTAGGCACTAAAATTCAGAAGGTGAATAAAATTTTGATATACTAGAAAATTTAAATTCCCAAAAAGAACAGTAAGAAGCATGTTCCATCATATCTTCTACCTATGGGAATAGCTAAGTGACATTCTTTGTCATTAACTATGGCAAAATATAATGCAAATAAAAACTTACCTAATTTGAAGGTCCAGAATAATTTGTCTTTTGTCTACATTTTCAGTATATACCTTAACACCATTGACCCTAAGGGGCTGAAATAAGAAGTAACTTATTTTAAAAAACAAGAATTTTTCTTAAAAAACAATATAACAAAGAGGTAACAAGAAAAAGGATTAGCAGCATACTACAGGAATTAATGTTCGACTTTCAGAACATTCTGTTTGGCCTTCAAGAAGTTATTTGGCCTCTGTTTCATAGCTTCCTTACCTGTGATATAAAAACGACAAGGGCACCTAACCTCATTGAATTGTTGGGAAGTTAAATGACACAATGAATGTAAAGTATCAAGTATACTGCCTGTCATGTAGTACTCAATCAACATTAAATATTGTTGTCTCTCCCTTCCTTCTCCCTCTCCCCCCATCTAGTACCAAGGCTTGAACTGAGCCTTGTGTGTTAGCTTGGCTTATTGCTTACAGCTGGCCTTTGTCACAGCCACACCCCCAGTCCGTTTCTAAATCCTACAATCTCATTTCTTTCCATTAACTCTGACCATTTTACTCTATTCCATCTTCACTACATTATTTAAAACATAACTTGCCTGTATTTTTTATTTATGTATCAAAACTTTTCACTTGAGATTTTCATAAAAACAAGGCTTTTGAAGTAAGGAAAGACAAGCTGGAGAGGCTGGGAAGGTGGTAGAGTGCTTGCCTCGTGTGCATGAGGCCCTGGGTTCAATTCCTCAGCACTATATAAGCAGAAAAAGCCAGAAGTGGCACTGTAGCTCAAGTGGTAGAGTGCTAGCCTTGAGCTGAAGAGCTAAGGGACAGTGCCCAGGCCCAGAGTTCAGGCCCCATGAGCGAGCAAGAGAGAGAGACAGACAGAGACAGACAGAGACAGAGAGACAGAAAGAAAGAAAGAAAGAAAGAAAGAAAGAAAGAAAGAAAGAAAGAAAGAAAGAAAGAAAGAAAGAAAGAAAGAAAGAAAGAAAGGAAGGAAGAAAGAAAGAAAGACAAGTTGGAAAGTTGGATATGACTGTAATTTCCAACACTAAGGAGACAAAATCAGGAGGATCATTGAGTTTGAGTCAACCTAGGCTATATAGAGACCTTGTCTCAGAAAGAAAAAAGACAAATTGTATATGAAGTGTGTGTGTGTGTGTGTGTGTGTGTGTCCTGGGGCTCGAGAGGCTTGAATCCAGGGTGTGTGTGTGTCCTGGGGCTTGAGAGGCTTGAATCCAGGGTGTGTGTGTGTCCTGGGCTTGAGGCTTGAATCCAGGGTGTGTGTGTGTGTCCTGGGGCTTGAAGCTTGAATCCAGGGCCTGAACACTGTGTGTGTGTCCTGGGGCGCGCGTGCGTGCGTGTGTGTGTGTGTGTGTGTGTGTGTGTGTGTGTGTGTCCTGGGGCTTAAAGCTTGAATCCAGGGCCTGAACACTGTCCATGACCTTTTTTACTAGAGGCTAGCACTCTATCACTTGAAGGTTTCTTGGTGATTGATTAGAGATGAGTTTCACAGACCCCTGCTCAGACTAGCTTCAAACATTAATACATGGTAAAGGAAATAATTCCACAAACACAAAAGGTAGATTTGTAACATGTATCTCAAGGGCCTTCAAACCTTCTTCTCATTTATAAATATGGGACAGCTCTGAAGAAAGTTCTTTACGTTCCTAGTAGCACTAGAACTAGATATGAGGAGAACCCTTCAGAGTACAGATGACAGGCTGGCTGTCCCGGTCTCTGACAGAGCTACAAAACTGCATGTAAACTTCACTGGGAATCTGCACCTTTCTTACCACCCAGGTTCCAGGAGTTTCCCTCATGATTCTAGCTAAGATATCTAAAAGCAAGTAATCACTCAGAAACTCAACCAGCTCTGTGGGTCAGTGAAAACGGGGCAGCTCAGACTGATTACCCTTACTTTGGCCAACACATTCACCTCCTCCATGTAAAATGCCATTTTAGGTCAAAAAGCAGCACAACCAAGATCACTGCCCTGTCACTGACAAGGCATGTTGCACAAACAGAATTGTAGATTGCTAGGGTGGGGACTACTTGTCAGAGGTTATAATATCACGGATCCAAAAGAGACTCAAAGATACCCAGCTAAAGGAGCTAGGAACTTTATTACAGCAACGCAGGTCCGGTTCCTAGCAAAGTGGGAGAACAGCCGTGAGCTCCGGGTAGGATGGGTTTTTATAGGGGTAGGTTACCTAGAGTTACACAGACGAGCAATGCAAGGCAGGTCTGGCACATTTTCATTGGTTATGGTTATATGGCCTTTAAATTCATTTGTTCTTTATAGTAAATATCATAGTAATAATTTGCAATAGCCACCCATAGTGGGACGGTGGTCTTCAATTGGAGGACAGTGGTGATGTCACCTGTGGGCTTAAGGCCTTGCTACTGAGGGAAGCAAGCCAAGTTACAGAAGCAAAACAGCAAAAACACAGCCTTGACTCACAGGAGCATAAGTAAAACATAATCTTGACTTGGTCAGCATGACGATCCTATCAATGCTATTGACACTACATAGAAATTATTTTTATTGTACTCTTCCAACTAATACAGAAGCTCAGTGCAGCTGAAGACAAACCTCCAGGTGGTCAGTGCCTTCTGCACAGCTGCCAGCCTGGCAAACCTGGATGAGGGAGAGAGGGTCTATTGCTTTTTAGCAAGGATGGAGAAGAGGCTAAGACTGACCAGCAGTCAGCCTTTGCTTGAGGTTTTTAATGAGAGGTTTTGCCCTTTATCAGTAATTTTGTTCTGTTTTCTGATTTCATATTTTTGTTCTCATGGACACCCTTCTTTTCCCAGAGAAAGAGGGTTTAGGGCTCAGGAGAGAAAGTACATTTCCAACAGCAGGAGGGACTGGGGCCAGACAACAGGAGGAACTTTATGCCAGAGAATAGCAACTCAGATATTACAAGGTCAATGGTGCCAGAACCACTTGTGCTACGCAGGACTCTTCCACTGCAATCACTGTTCTCCAAGGGTCCATTAAGTGAGTGTAAAACTCAAAGCACATGCAACAGAACGGAAAATAAACCCTGCTGCAGTTAAAATTTTCTATCTCTACAAACATCAGCATTCTTTCCATTAAGGGACAACAAACTATGATTTGCATGCTATACTTAGCCTTAGTTTTTGTACAGCTCCACAGCAAAGAAAGACTTTTACCATTTTGAAGGATATAAAAGGGAGAGTAAAGTAGGAAAAGAAAATGCTATCTGAAGCTAAAACATCAATACTGCCCAGAAAGTTTGTGACAGGTACTTTATAGCATTTAAACTTTGAGTTGTGATTCTCAACTGCTGCTGTCACGTCTGGATATGGAAAGTAAAGTAAGCATTACTTTACATGGTCACACAACATCCTGTCCAAGTACTTGGCCATCTGAACAGGATACCACACCTCAGGAATGTCCTGAATGTGGAGACTTCAAAGCTAAAGGAACCAGCTAGATATACAGGGAAGTGCCCCCATGAGCCTCCACTGGGAAACACAGAATTTAGAAGAACTGCACCAAGAGACAATATTCTCAGTATGAACAAGATCAGCTTTCATGGGGAGAGATGACCAGCAGTCTGGAGAGCATGGGATGAGCATAACACAGAGCCACCCGAGACACGCCCTCAGCCCCTCCTGCCTCCACCCTGACGACTGCACAGTGACGCCCACCTTTCCTTTGTGCACTGAGATGTACGAGCTGTGTATGTGTTAAAGTAGGGCCAAACTCTGAGTTTTTATTAGGCATATAAAACATGTTATCGTGAACTGTTGCTAATTCTTGGGGCAGACCATACAATTCTTATAAAAACTGGCTTGAAAAATAAAAGGAGAGCTACTATAAACCCCAGCACTTGGGAGGCTGAAGCAGGCACCCTGCACGTCTGTGGCCAGCCAAGGCTGCACAGCAAGGCCTTGTCTCAAAAGAAACATAACTCACAGAAAAAGGAACCTACCATGATGGAGTCACTTAAATCTAACAGGTGGCTTTTATTAGAAATGACACTACTTTTCCTTTTCCTTTTCATAATACAGTCCTATCAGTAAAATCTCCTTCCATCTATGTAATGAATAAGATCCTTTAATCAAGATCAGCACTATGAGCTATTACTTTATAACATCTTGAAAGGAGTAAATATAAATTAACTTCGTTGGCAACTAGTGGATCACACTTTAAATGTGTCAGACTGAATTCTATCAGAAGGATCTGGAGTAAAAAGACATGTGAAAGTTGAACTGAGCACAAAAGCACACTCAGAGTGGGGCACAGGCAGACTTCCTGTAAGCAAGGAAATTCAGCCCAGGATATACAGAGGCAGACCCTAAAGGAACCATACATAAAACATGTATGTTTCTTCTTGGTAAACACTTTCCTCCACAGCATTTGGGGTGGCTTAAGATGTTTTTATATTTCCAAAGCAACCCTACTGTATGCATAAGTAAGGACACAAGAAGTAACTGACCTGATAACCCATGTCCACCTTTGTAAAGCTGAAGGTACTGAGGTGAGCATTTGCTCCCCGAACAGCTGGTTCTATGGTTTCTCGAAACAGCTTCTCTATAAATTGGCAAATAAAAGGCCACATGTGTTTTACAGTCTGGAAGGAAAAAGAACTCATGTTGATCACTGTAATTCAAAGTAACACTGGGGTCACAATGAAAAATTGTAATTCTGTAGTTTATTAAAATCCATTTCTGGCTCTTTTCTAGCTCTCTCTGCTCTCTCTGTTCTTTTCTAGCTCTTCTCTCTCTCTCTCTTTCCCAGCTCTCCCAGCTCTCTTTCCCAGGCCTTTCCCCACCGTGTGGAGGACCAAGATGACCTAGTGCCAGCCAGAAGGATGAATGAACCTTCCCCTTACCTGAATACCACGTGAGTGCTGCTGTTCTTACTCGGCTACCTCTCTCTCTGCTCTTGTCTAGCTCTTCTCAAGCTCTTTTCTCTCTCTTTCTTCTCTCTCTTTCCCAGCTCTCTCTCTTTCCTAAGCCTTTCCCAGCTGCGTGGAGTGCCAACCTTGCCTGGTCCCAGCAGGTCTACTGAATAAACCTACCCCTTACCTGAAAAAAAAAATCCATTTCTACAGAAAAGAAGGGGGAAATGGTCTTCTTGTTATGTATACTTTAAAGTTTAACCTAAACTTATCACAACAACCAGGCATCAGTGGCTCAAGACTATAATCCTCACTATTGGGAAAGCTAAAACCTGGAAGATTTTGGTTCAAAGCCGGCCTGGGCAGAAGAATCTAAGAGATTCCATTTCCTAAACTGGCCAATATGCTCTTGTGTCCTATCATTGCTAGAAATCTTAAAACTATATCTTAATATTGAAATTTTTTCGACAAACTTCTAGTGCTGCAAAGTGCTATCTAGACTGGTATTCACTATATAGATCTATAGATGCACAATACACAAGGTAAATAGACCCAATTCCAGTACACCAATTAAAAAACATTAATAAAAATATTGTATGTTGTTCTGCGTTTTGACAGTTACTTAACTCTGCTTGTGATCACTGTAAAATTGACTTTAGCATGCTCTACTCAGGAAGGAAGACACAAGCCAGTAGTGATGCAATGCAAACACACCATGTTTTCTCAGCCTAATGACACAGCTCTTCCTCTTAGAAAGGAATGTAACAAACCACTTACAATTGGGTTTTCTGCTGAGAAGTCAGCCTCTGTCGCTTTTGAAAGAACTCAAAGGGTGCCACAGTGAAATCCCCAAATAGGCAAAGATGGTTTCTCATCTAATTTCCACTGATAGATGGTATTTGTAATATTCTAATCTTACCTTATTTAGCCATTCTGCTCTTTCAGTGTCCGGAAAATGAACCTAAAAGAAAAAATGCACACACATGACTTAAAGCCAGACAACTGTAAATAAAATGTCCTGCAGGCTATTTTGTATTCTGATTGTATGCCTTATGTTTACATCATGTTCCTTTTAAAACACCCAGCTCTAATGCCCTGGAGCCAAAATGTGGGGCACCTGGCTCAGCACATTCCAGAATTTAGAGCTACCAGAGTCTTTTCTTCCTCCTAAGGTCCAGAAGGAAAACCCCAGGCAGCTGAAATATACACAAAATGGACCTCTTCCTTTTAAAATGAATCATCAACAATGTCATCATTATGTTCTAGAAATCCAGTCTTTTTTTTTTCGTTTTGCTTATGTGGTGCTGAGGAATCGAACCCAGGCATGCAAGGCAAGCGCTCTACCACTGAGCCACCTTCCCAGCCCCTAGAAGTCCAGTCTTAACACACTACCATTCTCTTCTGCTCTCCTTCTCCGCCCCATCATGAGGCTCTTTTCCACTCAGTCTCCCGCACTTTCCCAAATGCATGCTATAATTTTAATTTTCTATGAGCAGCATCTGTGGATTGAAGAAGTATTTAAAAGGCTAAAAGAAACCTAACTATTGTAGGGAGGGGAATTCTCTGTTGGAGCTAAGATTAAAACTACCCGCAGAGGAGGGCTTTCAAAGAAAGAAGAGCACACACACCACTGCTGTGAGAACACACCGTGGTGTAGAGATACAACAGATGACAGGAGTTTGTGCTGGTGACTGAGAAGGTTTTGGTGGCTATAATTTTCCTAAGCTACAAAGAACCCAAGTCAACACCCTCACCTCATCTCCAAGCAGGCTAAATTGGACCACACAGAAAACCCAAGGTAGGCAGTGTTAGCGAAAGCAGCTCCCTTCCCATAGCTTAGTCCACGCCTTCCCTTCCCCACAGCTTAGCATGCCCCTTCCTAGGCAGCACCAGGCCCCTGCAGTAAAGGCAGTAGGCGATCATCTTCCAGGCCCTCTACCTCGGGATGGCACTTCCCTAGGGCAGCTGCCACCACAGAAGGCAGCTAGAGCCCCTTGGAATGACCTTCAGGCCTCGGCAGCCGCAGGACCCTTATCTACTATTTGGACAGCAGCCATAAATCCTAGTCCAACATGATGAAGCCCCTGGCCTACACGTCCACACCAGGTCTCCGCCTCCTAGCCCCTTCCAGCCCCTCCTAATCCTCCTAGGTTATATAGGTCACCTTAGACATAGGCGGTACTTCTCATTCTTCCTTGTGAGGAGGAGTCTTGGCAGCCCCATTTCCCAGCTATAAGCCTTTCTTTGTTCTCTGTACCTGTATGTCTGCATGATTCTCTGGCAAAGTCTATTCATCTTAATTTTGCTCACAGGCAGAACTTATTTTCATGGGGGAGAGAGTCTATAAAAAAGGCTCGCAGGGCACCGGTGGCTCACCTCTGTCCTCCTAGCTACTCAGGAGGCTGAGATTGAGGATCACGGTTGAAAGCCAGCCAGGGCAGCAAAGGCCATGGGACTCTTATCTCCAATAAACCACTTAGAAAAGGGGAAGTGGCGCTGTGGCTCAAGTGGTAGAGCACTTGCCTTGAGCTGAAGAGCTGAGGGACAGCACCCAGGCCCAGAGTTCAAGCCCCATGACCAACAAAAAAAAAAAAAAAGGAGGCTCATCTGAGAAACAGTTCTACCTCTCATGGTTGAGAAAATGGGGCCTTAGTCTGACATAAGTAACAGCATATCAGCTCACAGAAGCCCTACAGTGACTCTTATCTCCTGAGCCTCAGCAGAGGAGCACACAGCTGCTGTGGCATTGGTAGAATCATGGGTTCCCTTTTGTCGGCAAGCCTAAGCAGGCATTATTGTGTTGTACCACACCACATCACATGATGTACTTAATTTGCTTGAACCCGGTAGGCTAGAATGAGCTGAAATAAAATGTTCCTAAATTTAGTTAGTTCGGATCCACTCGAAAACAAAACACTGAAGGGTAAAAACCTTTTCTAACTAAAACAACGGCTCACAAGCTGGAAAAGACAACACTCAAAAAAAGGCAAGGGTCGTGGAAAGAGAACTGGAGATGATCATTCAATTCTGGGGAGGTGCTTCTGAGACCACTGAGAGGCGAATTTTGACCCCAGAATATTATATTCTCCCGTAAGGAACAGGAGAAATTTGGGGTGTATAACTGGAGGATTTGTGAGACTTTTCAAAATCCATCTGCAATTGGTACAATGACATTTCTTTCTTTTTTTTTTTTGTCGGTCGTGGGGCTTGAACTCTGGGCCTGGGCGCTGTCCTTCAGCTCTTCAGCTCAAGGCGAGCACTCTACCACTTGAGCTACAGCGCCACTTCCGGTTTTCTGGTGGTTTATTGGAGATAGGAGTCTCACGGTCTCTCCTGCCCGGGCTGGCTTTGAACCGAGATCCTCAGATCTCAGCCTCCTGAGTAGCTAGGATTACAGGCGTGAGCCACCAGCGCCCGGCTGACATTTCTTTATATTACTGTAAATGACCTCAACCTGTAAAAGTCATGTCAACAAAGGGTGGGCAAAGTATTACACCACACATTCAGCCATGATCCCTCCCAACTTACTAAGAGGCTGTCTCCCTTACTGCCCCCCCCTTCTTCTAAGCCCAATGAACAATGGTGGCAACAGGAAAACAAACACAAACAAACAAACACACACACACACACACACACACACACACACACAAATATACCTTCTATTTAGTGACAGCCAAAACTTCTTCATGTGCTCCTTCTGTAATTTCATAGCAAATACTAAATAACATCTCTGAAGTATCTACCTAACATCTGAATGCTCTTGCCATTCTTTGATGTCTATCTACATCAACTTCCCTTCAAGACCTCTCCTTTCCAGACTTCCCAACTACACTAAATTTAGCTGCCAAAACAATTCTAGAAAATGAGAATTTCATTTCGATTTGCTTTAGCAAAGACTCGAGCGCCTACTTGCTTATCGAATAGTTCAACTTCCTCAAGCTGATCTTCACAGAGTGCTAACATTTTCCCCAGCTTACTCTTTAAAATGTCATGTCTGTCACATTCCTGTGGAGTCTAGCCAAAGCAGCACGGCTGACAGGGATCCCTCGTGAGTTTCTCCACCAACCTCTCATCTTCCCAACACATGCTGCCAGCACTGACCTAGAGCCAGCTTGATGCAGGTCCAGGCAACTTCCTGTTTGTGACACCACTAGAGGCAAACTGCTCCGGTGCCCACAGTACCTTAACTCCCCATAAATCTGCACCAGTCATGGCAACATTCTGAGTGAATCAGGGTCAGAATCCTCAACTCCTGTCTCCCTTAAAGTCACAGGCCTTCCATCTTCTCTCCACCAGACTTCCCACAAAATCTGTAGCTTACCAGACCTAGTATGGTAATAATTCCTAAATGTTTTAGTCACCATATTATAAAAAATTCCTGTTTCCAAATACTATCAAATGTACTATTTTCTAAAAAAGACTTCAGCTAGGTGCTGGTGGCTCACACCCGTCATCCTAGCTACTGAGAAGGCTGAGATCTGAGGATTGTGATTCAAAGCCAGCCCGGGCAGGAAAGTCCATGAAACTTTGATCTTCAATTAACCACCAGAAAACCAGAATTGGCTCAACTGGTAGAGCACTCGCCTTGAGCTGAAGAGCTCAGGGACAGCGACCAGGACCAGAGTTCAAGCCCCACAACTGACAAAAAAAAAAAAAGATTTCAAAAATCATGAGAAAGTACCATGTCTGATAATGTAAGATAGAGCCAAATTTCCCTACAAATAAAAACTGATGAACAGATGATATAGTCTTAAAATAGTTTGCACATATAAGTTACCATGTCTGTAAGTGCACAAGAGTACAAAAATATATACTGAAACCAGTAACAAAAAGAACAAGGCTTCACTTTTTCCACTATGGCTATACTTCTGAATTCCTTTTGAGAAGCATAAATTACTCTTGTAATTGAAGATTCAAATTAAGAAAATACCACAAGTGGCGCTGTAGCTCAAGTGGTAGAGCGCTCGCCTTGAGCTGAAGAGCTGAGGGACAGCGCCCAGGCCCAGAGTTCAGGCCCCACAACCGACAAAAAAAAAAAAAAGAAAAGAAAATACCACACACTGAATGTGGTGGCACATGCCCATAGTCCAAGCACTGGGAGGCTGGGGCAGAAAGATTGTGAATTACAGGCCAGTCTGGGCTTCTTACTGAAGCCCTTCTCCAAAATAAACAAGGAAGGAAGGGAGGGAAAGAGGGAGGAAAATGTTTTTGACACAGATGTACTATTTTTTTTCAAAATAAACAAAATTAAGTGAAAATTGAGTTATCATAATTAAACCAGGCTTTAGTTACACTAGAAGAGGTAGTCATTGGAAATAGGATTTTCCTACAGCAAAAGTATTCTAGTCAGGCCCTGGTGACTCACACCTATAATCCTAGCAACTAAAGAGGCTGAGGATTATGGTTGAAAGCCAGTCAAGGCTAGAACATCTCTGAGATTCCTATCACCAATTATTAGCTAGCAAAAAGCTGGAAGTGGAACTGTAGCTCAAGTGGTAAAGCACCAAGCTTGAGGCCCTGAATTTAAGCTCCAGAATGAACATAATTACATAAAAGTTTTCAAGTTTTATTAGCAAGAAAAATTTAAAAAAAATTTTTGATTATGTCAAGTTTCAAGGACAAAGCATAGCTGTGTTGACCAAATGCCCTTCTGGCTGGACAGGTGAAGTATCCCAATCTCCCTGGGGCCGGTGGGACACAAACCCACGATCAGCTAAAGAAAGGAATCACCAACACTCAGTCAATCAGGCTAGGAATCAATAATAGCCATGGTGACTAGCCCTCACTATACCAAGACAGTAAAGAACAGCGGTGAGGTCAAATAGCTCAGGGAACTTAAAGGCAAGGCCCATGGGGGCCACTCACAGGTGACAAACAAGTTACAAAAGCAGAACAAATGGGGATTACAATTTCGGTAACCAAGGCAATAAGTCATCAAAGCAAAGTAAGGTGGCTG